CTCTGCGCGGGGGGAGACTCTGCGTGAGCGCTGGAGGAGCAGCCTGCCTAACTCCTGCTGAGCGCGTCCACGAACGGGGAGAGGGGGGCCTGCCCCAGGTCGTGTGCCCCTAGGGGGAGGGCAGGAAGAGAGGGGACGGGACCTGCCCCAGGTGGTGTGCCCCTAGGGGGAGGGCAGGAAGAGAGGGGAGGGGACCTGCCCCAGGTAGTGTGCCCCTAGGGGGAGGGCAGGAAGAGAGGGGACGGGACCTGCCCCAGGTGGTGTGCCCCTAGGGGGAGGGCAGGAAGAGAGGGGAGGGGACCTGCCCCAGGTCGTGTGCCCCTAGGGGAGGGCAGGAAGAGAGGGGACGGGACCGCCCCAGGTCCTGTGCCCCTCGGGGAGGGCAGGAAGAGAGGGGACGGGACCTGCCCCAGGTGGTGTGCCCCTAGGGGGAGGGCAGGAAGAGAGGGGACGGGACCTGCCCCAGGTGGTGTGCCCCTAGGGGGAGGGCAGGAAGAGAGAGGAGGGGACCTGCCCCAGGTCGTGTGCCCCTAGAGGAGGGGGGGGAGGATGTACCAGGGGGGGCAGGAAGAGAGGGGAGGGGACCTGCCCCAGGTCAGGTGCCCCTAGAGGAGGGCGGGGGACCTGCCCCAGGTAGTGTGCCCCTCGGGGAGGGCAGGAAGAGAGGGGAGGGGACCTGCCCCAGGTAGTGTGCCCCTAGGCAGGGAGAGTGGGAGGACCTGCCCCATGTAGTGTGCCCCAAGGGGAGGGGAGGGAAGGGGTGGGAACCTGCCCGAGGTAGTGTGCCCTTAGAAGAGGGCAGGGAGAGAGTGGGGGACCTGCCCCGGGTAGTGCCCATAAGGCAGGGAAATCTACCCCAGTTACCATTCACTGGAGGACAAGAGAGGGGCTTGAATCAGGCATTTCTCCCTTGCAATGGGGAGAGAGAGAACTGTCCTTGCCTCAGGAGCATGACCTGAACGCCCTTTCCTACTGCATTATTCAGCAAAGTTTCCTTGCTGTATTCGCCATGTTGCTGTGTTACAAATTGTGTTGACTTACTGTCAGTGCCTTAAAGTTTATCTCCAGGGTGTGGTGTAATTTACCCTTAATATAAGATGCTTTAAATATTGGTAAAGGGGTCTTAAATCACAGGGTAGGGCATAAGCCAAGAGAAAAGAGGGAAAGGCTCAGGCCTGAATTTTAAACTTGCAATTAATGTTCAAGATACATAAGACAGCAGAAGTCATCCAGAGAGTACTGGTATAAAAACCTAACAAGAGAGAGGCAGTATTAACAACCTGATGTGTTAAAAAATTGTGAGACAAGCTCAAGAGATTGGGTTCATTCAATTTAAAGAATACACTTTGGACTTGTTTTATTTGCATTCTGGTTTTTGAAACTATTAGCATTCATACTGGACTTTTTAACAGAGAAAGTTACCAAGGATTGTGGTGGATTCTCTACTGCTGACAATTTTTAAGTCACGATTAGATGTTTTTCGAAAAGATGCGTTCTATTTTTGAACAGGAATTAATGCAGGTATATGGCCTCGGCTATATAAGAGGTTAAACTAGATGATCACAGTGGTCCCTTCTGTCCTTAGAATCTATTTTTTCATGTTTTTCTTTCACAACTGTGAGAAGTTTATTAGAAACTTTCTATTAAACAAATGCCAATATTCTCATTTACCATGTGACTCCAGGAGCTGAAGCTTTAAGAAAGACTATCTAATCTTCTATCTAAAGTACTTATACAGCTCTCATCACTATAGTACCAGAGCACTTCAGAATCGCAACAGCCCAGTGAGATAGGAAAGTGCTGTTATCCTGACATAGGGACAGGGGCTAAGGCTGTGTTTACACTACAGATTTACAGCGGCTCAGCTATACCGCTGCAGCTGCACCACTGTAAGATCTCCCATGTAGCCGCACTATGCCGATGGGAGAGAGCTCTCTCCTCAGCATAATTAAACCATCCTCAAGAAGCAGCAGTATCGATGTTGGCAGGAGAGCAGCCAAGGGGTGTTTTGTTTAATAAATGCTCCCAAGAGTGAGATCCCAGATAACAAGATCAAGGATGATTTACTTTGCACCTGTTAGTTAAAAGATTCTCAAATACTCAAACTATAACTGGGGATTGCTTCATCCACTAATAAATGCCATTACCTTAGGGGTGGAACACAGGAGCTGTTTAACAGTGCATAACCATATTTTAGGATGGAAAGAAAAAAATTGTATCCCCTTGATTCTACAGGGGAATTTAAGTAGGTAGAGTATAGCTAATTTAGTCAGGACATCAGAATTAATGCAAACTCATGAGAAAAGTACTATGGGATCTTAATGATCTCATGTGGTTGGAGTCCCAATTGTATGTCTCCTCCAAAACCACCAGCAGTACAGGGGCCCACTAGACTATCACCTACTGAGCCAAGATGGCTAATATCTTTTTGTTGGACCAACTTCTGTTGGTGTAAGGAACAAGCTTTCGAGCTCCCACCATGCATTTAAGTGTGACATTCTGAGTACCTTTCCCAGACCTGAAGAAGAGCTCTGCGTAAGCTCAAAAGTTTGTCTCTTTCACCAACAGAAATTGGTCCGATAAAAGATATTACCTCACCCAACTGGTCTCTCTAATATTCTGGGACCAATAGGGTTACAAAAACACTGCAGATATTACCTACTGCATCACATAGAATCATAGAATATCAGAATTGGAAGGGACCTCAGGAGGTCATCTAGTCCAACCCCCTGCTCAAAGCAGGGCCAATCCCCAATTTTTGCCCCAGATCCCTAAATGGCCCCCTCAAGGATTGAGCTCACAACCCTGGGTTTAGCAGGCCAATGCTCAAACCACTGAGCTTACTACTGGCTGCAGGATTTGGGTTTTCTTTGGTTGTCTCATATTTAATTGCTAACTAATTGCATCCATGTTTAGCTTATAAGATCTGATATGTTCACAGTCCAATGTGGAGTGATGTGACTCCATCAGTCAATGTCTATTTAACTTGTTTAGATTTTAGTTTTTAAATCATTATTGTTCATACACAGTCCCCTTTACATTGGGACATTTATAACCTTGACTCACAGAACTTGGGTCCTATTCATGGATTCATAAAACACCCACTTTCCTATATAAGACTGGAAACAACTATAATATTGCAGTTGTCATGCTTCTGATTAATTCTGCTTATAGCCAGAGGCTTTTCTCATTACCTCTTGAGATATTCTGGGATATTCCTTAATGTCTTGGCCTAATTTCATTTTCTGATAATAGTACAGTACTTTCAATTCATGGGAATTCAGATAAATATAAAAAGTGGAAGGAAAAGCAACTGTTACAGAGATAGGAACATAGGATTTGGCATACTACATCAGATTCTTGGGTTATCTGATCACTTACCCTGCTTCTGGCAACATCCAGTGTGCGTATGTATATAGCTATGTAGCACGTTATTTTAAGATTTTCTATTGTGTCCATCAATATCTATTCAATTAAGTATCTCATGCTTCTGCTGAGTGAATAGTAATAATCTAGGTGGGAGCCTCCCAAGAAATTTAGGAGGCCTAAGAGAAGCAGGGAGGAGTGACTGCAGAAGGGAAATGTGTGAACCATATCCCAGGACTCTGCAGACAAACCCACCAACCTCAGCATCAGCCCCAGCACCCTCTGTAGAATCTGTTTTATGGATTCCTGCTTGCAGAGACTCTGCCTTCACCTGTGATCCTCAGGGCAGAGCTGTTGCCTCATCTGATTCTATAGCCACTAGAGGCCATGTTCCCCTCCTCACCCCATTACCCTCTGCAACAAGTGTCATTTCCTAGCCTACAAATGCTTGACTTTGCAACCTTAGTGTTTTGAATGTAATTTTTCCTAGCAGCTTCATTGCAGGGAAGGTCCTGCATGGCCCCTGCAGCTCTGAGCTAGAGCATGCTCAACACAAATGGAATCTTTGGAAGAACTGTGAAGCCAAAACAACAAGTCTGACTATCTGCATACTGAGATCTTTCAAAGGCTTATAACTTGGGCAAGTGTTCACAGGGACAGCAACAGGAACAAGAGACTCGGGTTAAATTTCAAGTCCCTGCTCCAAAGCTCATTAGCCCTAGAGCTTCTCAACAAAATGGGTGCAAAAAAATTTAACCTGGCCAAAACAACACTTTCCCCTAATCTCATTCTTGGAATCAGCTGAACCATTTTTTTTTTAAAGTTAACAAAGAGTTCAGGCTGAGACAGGCACTAAAGCATGGAAAATTTCAATCTCAATGGTTGAAGTTTGGCAAAGTTATAAAAAACTGCAACAGGGTTTTATTGTGGAACTTTAACTACAGGTGTTACCTGTGCCATACAGAATAAAATAATCAACTGTTAAGTGGAATATTAAAATAAGAAGTTCAGTTCCCCCTCCCCTCTACCATGTATTATTCATAAAAGAATGTTTCCTATTATCTTTTCAAGTTCAGTTTTAGGACATCCCAAGAGATGGGGCTCCAGCCACATGCATTGGAAGAGTGGGCCAGAGCCTGATATACATCAGTAACTTTTCCTATTTTCATTCCATTACTCCTAGTTATGCCCTCCATGAACCACCCAAAATAGTTCTTCTCCAGACTGATGACATTTTTGGACCGTTCAGTAGGAGCCCCTCCACCCATGGGTCATTATTGCTTCTGTCCTCTGAATTGCCTCAACTCATGTACCACTCCAAACAGAACAGTATCCCACCTGCACTGAAGAGGTATACAGAAAGGGACTATTACCTTTACACTCTGCAGAGCTGAGAGGCATGTAAAACAGCACAGTTTCCATTAATGAAGCACAGCAGGACAGGAAGCCTCTTTCTATTGGGGGTCAGACCTGGCACAGCATGAGAAGTCAGGAAGCCACCACAAACAAAGCAAGCTGTTCAGATGCCATCCCTGTGGTGGGGTCCCGGTCTATATAATATTCCCCTGAGCTTTGAGACCTTTCCATTACAAGAACAAAAATTTTAAATTAGAAAGAAAACGAAACTAGAAACATTTTTATAAGAAACAAATGTTTTAATAAAATGCCAGTTTGTTTTAGTTAAGTTACACAAGCAGGTTAACCAGATTTTTCTGGACTCATTCTGAATTTTACAATTCTGACATCTACCATCTTAACTACAGCAGCTTGCACAAAGTAGTAATTCTCTCATGCTATGTCCCTGCCATTCCTCCGGGCTTGCTTTCTGCGTCCAATAAACTAAATATATCCTGTAAATACTGCACCTATTCTAGCTTATTGGTTACCAGGTGGAGATCTCTTTTATAAATTTTCTTCAGAGCATTGCCAAGAAACACGCTGGTGTCCTCAGTACAATCCATAACATGTTTAGCAGGGATGGGGAAAGTTATAGCTCTTAGAGCAAGAGATTGCACATTACTCCATCAAACTATATTGGATGAAACCCTAACCTTTCGCATGCAGCTCTGAGAGCAGAGTAATGAGCTACAATGAAGTTTGAGTTTCAGGAACTGTTGTAAAATACATAGATTTTAGATTAATTACAAGACAACTATAAGAATTTGACACATTTACCATGTAAAGCTTCATTTATTGATAAAAATAAATTAATCTAGGATATCTAACCATATCATCTGAACTGCATTACAGATGCAGAGAATTTCAGTGAGGAAAATGTAGTAAGGAATAAGAATAGTTTAAAACAACTTAAAGAGAAAGCTGCTAAATTCACACATTTCAGTGGCAGAGGAAACCCTCTGCTACAAACAACTCATGCTTCGTTTCAGGTAGAAGGGCCACCAAATCTCAAAGAGGAACAATATCACCAGTTCACATTGTGCAGCAATGAGAAGCTCCTAACGAACAAGTTCCTTTAATCAGTCTTCTTGTCAGAAACTTCCGTTGATCCCTCCGTAGTGAATCCATTTGCGACCCCATTGCTTTCAATCTGAAATTGGAAGTAAATGATAGTACCATGAACCCATGTCAAAGAAAAAAATTCTTCACATTCAGAACCCTAGAGTTTAGTTGGGGAGGAAAGAATGAAGAGACAAGTTCAGAACATCTGCCTCAGTTCTGAGAAATTTGCAGTAACAGACTGAAATTTAAAAAAGTTAGGTAAAGCCTTATATACAATTCTTACTTTCTAAAAGGCCAGAGGAAAAAAATGTATATAGAAGAGCTTATGCCCATTTCTTTGGATATTAAAGTGCAATTATGGTACAAAAATGTTACCACGTTAAAAAACCACAGCACTTGAAACATGTTGGTCAGTACACACTATTGTTTACTGCGACTGCAGAACCAGTACAGGAAACTGGCTTCTGTTCTGCTTAATGCATCAGATTTGTCATTTAAGATTTAATTCCTGAATTTTTCGGAGTGGAAAAGTAAGGAGTCAGAAAAGTTTTTAAGCAGAACTATTAGCTATAGCTGGGATAGAGCATGCCATTCTACAATGACTCTGTTCTCTCTAAGAGGTCTCAGAGGTTGATTTGGGGCAATTGTTCTTCCTACTTGAGAAAACTGTAGCTGGTTAAAAGAAAAAGTAGTACCTGTGGCACCTTAGAGACTAACAAATTTATCTGAGCATAAGCCTTCGTGAGCTACAGCTCACTTCATTGAATGCATCCGATGAAGTGAGCTGTAGCTCACGTAAGCTTAAGCTCAAATAAATTTGTTAGTCTCTAAAGGTGCCACAAGTACTACTTTTCTTTTTGCGAATACAGACTAACACGGCTGCTACTCTGTACCTGGTTAGACATTCACAACCTTTTCTGTCATATCTGAATTTCCCCCAAAACAATCCACCATGCCCTTGTGACTTCCAGGTTGGATTGTTATAGGGTGCTCTACTTGGGGATTCCATGCTTAGCTACCTCCCTCCCTCCCATATGTATTAAAATATATTACTTACCTTATACATTCCAGAATCATCTGTTGGGCCTAGGTTTGTGGTTGAAGTCCCCAGAATAGTTCCAGTACTGTCTCCTTGGCCTTGTTTGGTGGCCAGTGTTCCCTGCACAGATTTCCTAGGCCATATGCGCTTAATAAAAGGTGAAATTATAGGGTAGACATATGGCTCAAGGAATTTCTTATAGACCCAGAGCAGAACTGGAATGACAATACAAGGAATGCACACCATGGTTCTTTCCAATCCTCTGACAGAATCTGTTGATACAAGAGGCAATAAAATAGCACTGAAAACCAAGGGACTGACATTTTAAAAAGTCTTAAAAAAAAAAATTATAAAAATCTTTGCAATGCTTTAAGTTTAAGAAGCCAGTCTCTAATTTAGATCAACATGTCTTCTGCTTACTATTCATCCTTCCAACAGCTTATACAATAGAAACAGTGAAGATCTTAGTCACCCTGTTCTGCCTCCTCTTCATGTTGTATAAAGGGGACCTGAAGATTTCCCTGCTTATTTCTTTATATTAGAAATTCAGGTGCTGTCTAAAAGACTAAGAATAGAGAGTTCATGAAATAAGAAAGTGAAGGCTGAGCAACGGAAAGGGGAAGGGATTTTAGTCAGTGTTAAATTCTTTGTTTTCATAAATTCTATTTAACATTGTGGATAGAGGAAATCTTTGTTAAAACCTCAGTCGATCCCAACTCTTCCATTAAGTTATGCATGCAAGCAATCAATGTGTGTCTAGACACCCCTTCTCCCAAAAAGTCTTCCAGCAAAGACCAGAACTGGCATGCACTACATTTCAATGGCCAGATGGTTTCAAGGTCAGTATTCTTTTTACACAAGAGGTTTTTTTTGTTTTGTTTTTGCAGCCACAAAGCTGGAATTGTTGACTGAGAAGTTTTCTATTAGAAAACCAGCACAAAGGATTGAAACCAACCAACAAAAGCATGAACTCTTGTCCTGTTTATGACACACAGATTCCTAAAAGGATTTATTTCCAGAAGCTGGAAGGAAAGGATAAGCACAAAAAACGCCAGGGGCCCAGCCACCTCCACAAGGCCAGAAGCAACCCTGGGCATAGGGCAAGAAGGGCCTGGCGTCTTTCACCGCCTCCACCTCGCACGGGGGTCACACGCTTGGGGGAGGGCGTCCAGGGCACCAGAAATGAGGGGAAGGAGGAAAGCAGGCAGGGGAGGAGGGAATCCGCGCAGGGACAAGCCGGTGGGGCGGGAGCTCAGTCAGGGACGGCGGGCGTGGGGAGTTCTCCCTACACCGGGGGAAGCCGCCAGCTCCCCTTCCCGCAGGGGCGGCGCCCGGCAGGAGGCGCGGGGAGGCAGAGGGAACAGCCCCCCCCATTATGAACGGAGGGAGGGGGACGGACAAGGGACTCCCTGACCGCAACGGACCCACCTGCCGGCTCCTCCTCCTGCAACGACCCCAACCGCAGCCAAGCACCGCTCGGGCTGTGAGCGACGCCGCGCCGGAAGCCGCCTCTTCACTTCCGCCTTCCGGACGGGATTGATGACGTCGCCGGCCCAGCGCCAATGGGAAAAGGAGCCCCGTTGATCACGTGCGCAAAACATGAGGGGTGGGCGTGGCCGCCAACCGCCAGGACACCAGAGGCAAAGCGGCAGCGGCCAAAGCTGCGGCGTCCGGACCGTTTCTGCCCCCGCCCGCCGTGTCTCGAGCCGGCCGGGAGCGCCGAGAGCCGCGGCCGGGGAGAGTCCGGAGGCGGCTTAGAGCGGAGCGGGCCCCCCAGCCCCCCGTTCCGCTGAGCCGCCGGGGAACTGGAAACAGGAGCTACCGACCCCAGCGCGTGCAACGCTAGGGCGGCGTCTCCCCGCAGCCCCGGCCAGGTCATTGTGCGCCCCCCCCTCACCGGCGTTTAGTTGCGTCACAAGCACTGTGTGTGTGCGCGCGTGTGGTCCACGTGATCACCTTCGGATTCCCCCTGGGAGCGAGCCTCGGCATTCCCAGGGAGGTCCCTGAGCCCGACCCCCCAGCCGACCGGAAGCGGGAAGGCAGGTGTTGACCCTGGGGCCTCGCTCTTGCCCCTTGTCATCCCCTAAAGCGGTGGGTCTCGAACCCCCCCCACACACGGACCACTTGAAAATTGCTGCGGGTCTTGGCGGACCCCTTAAGGGCCTTTCTAAATGCGTGTACCCTGAACAAACTATTGTAAAGCGCTTTGGATAAAAGCTCTAGATAAAAAAACCTTAATAAGCTTTTTTTTTTTTTTGTTCTACAAATAAAAGCACACAACTGATATTTTAATAGCCGTACTCTTACCTTTCTAGTGCGATGGATGTGCCCTTGCCCCCCTGCCGTGGCTGCCCCCGTGTTGGGGTTGGGAAGGAGGAGGGTCTCTCCACAGCCCCGGAGCTGGGGAAAGTCACCTCTTTCTCTGGCCGCCGCAGCCCTGCATGTCCCAAATTCCCCCCAGTCCCTCTTCTCACCCACTGCCCCCTCTCACCTACCCCCTATTTCCCCCAAGGCCACCACCTCACCTTACATGTGCATCTTCTCCAGGGTCCAGGCACCTGATTAGTGAAGGCACGTCTGTGCTGCTCCACTAATTAGGTGGATGGCCGTTCTCTCTGAGAAGCCACCCAGGCACGCACCTTAGAGGGAATGATCTGTGGACCGCTTGAATGGAGTGGTCTGTTGTCCACAGTTTGACAAGAGCTGCCTTAAAGCACTTTATAAAGGCGGTCAGTCTCATTAGCACCATACCAGTAGTGCTGTTCAGTGCTTGGGAAATGGGAATAGGGTTACCACCTTTTCAAAACGCAAAAGTGGGACACAAGCAGGAGCCCTGACCCCAACCCTTCCTCTTTCAGTGAGGCCTCAGCCCCCACTGTCCCCACTCCCCCATAGCCTCAACTCACTGTGCCGCCAGCGTGGCTGGCTTTGGGCGGTGCAGCTGCCAGACATGCTGCTCTGGGCAGCATGTTAAGGGGATGGGGAGGTTGGATAAGGGGCAGGGTGTCCCAGGGGGGCAGTTGGATGGGGTAGAGATTTGTGGGGGGGGCAGTCAGGGAACAGGGGTGTTGGATAGGCATGGGAGTGTCAGGGGGCCTGTCAGGGGGCAGAGTGTGGTTAAGGGTCAGGGAGCGGGGTTGGATAAGGGGTAGGGCCCCAGGGGGGCAGTTAGGGGACAAGGATTGGGGGGGTTGGATCGGTGGTGGGTTCTGAAGGGGGCAGTCGAGGGCAGATAGAGATCGAGGGCCAGGCTGTTTGGGGATGCACAGCCTTTCCTACCCAGCCCTCCATAGTTTGCCCACTCCTGTGTTAGAGGGAGGGGCTGTGCACTTCTTGGGTTGATAGTAATTTTCATCTGCACGAAGAACTTAAAAAAGGTAACCTCATTACACATAACAAAGGGTCCAGATATTTTTGGTGTAGTTGAGGCAGTTGCAAATTTTTGAAAAGTTGGTGGCTGTTGTTACAGATGGAGCACCTGCTGTGAGTGAACTAAAGGTCAGGTTTCAACATGAACCTGGTTGTGAGTTACAAACTTGATTGGAAGTGGCAACACATCACTGTATCTTCACAGATTTGTGGCTTTTCTCAAATAAGTGGATGCAAAGTGTGATGGCTGAACTGTGATAAATGCTTTTTGAGACATTTCTTGCACTTCAAAGAGATAATTGCTTTTCTGAAAAACACTGCAAGTTTTGATACTGAGATGTTCCTGGAAAAGCTGGAATATTCCATTTTTCTTTTCAATATGGTATTTTTTATCGACAAACCTCTAAATTATTGGAATCTGCAATTGCAAGGCATGGACCAGACTTGTTAGACCTCATTGATCACTTGGATAGTTTCAGAAGCAAAGGTGCACTTTTCAAGACTCAGCTGTTGCATTTGGATTTTGTCCACTTTACAACGTGCTGCACTTGCATGCATGGCACAAATGCAAGTCAGTTTAGCAGGTACACTACTGATGTTGAAATGATGCTTAATATCAACAAATTTTACAAGTTTTCAGCCTCATCTGATCTTTTTTAATAATCCATTTGCAGCTGTTGTCAATGACCAGCCTTCTGAATTGCAACAGTATCTGCAAACTGCAGGCTGATTTTTTCTTAGGTGCAGCCCCTGAAAGTGATATTCAGTTTTGGAAACTGCTTCAGAGTCCTGTTTCCCAAATCTGAAAAAGTGGTTGTCGAAACTGTTCTATGTTTGGAAGCGCTTACATTTGTGAAAGTAACTTCTCTACACTGAATCACTTGAAGTCAAAGAAAAGGAATTGACTGACCGATGAAAACACTCTGCCATCTTAACGAGTTAGATGCACTAAAATTGATAGAGGTAATTTGATATATACATTGGAGGCTCACCCTCAAGTTTCACTGTAAGATACTGTAACAATAAGCCGAGAAAAAACATTACGTTGCTATTTTCATTTATTAATCCCCTGCTCTTCTGCATATTGAAAAATATTAATGAAAGATGTTTAAATGTTTTCTTAAATTAAATTAAGAACTTTGGTTTTACACTGTGAATAATTAGCTGTATGCTAACATACTGTACCGTCAAACATTTGAGTTACGCAATAAACTAAAAATTAATCAATACTGATTATATAGTCCACCAAAGGCTTTTAGTGGATTTTGTTGCCCTTTACTACCTTAAAGTTGCCCATCTCTGCTTTAAAATTAGGATTTCACCTTAAAGGCTGACTTGTAATTTTTATATTTTGTAGAAGAAATAGATCTAATAGCAATCAGTTCACTTTTGTCCACACATTTACTTCAGTACAACTCAGAATATCAGTTTGAGTACGGTGTTTTTGGATCAAATATATTCCTCAAACTTTGCTACATGAGAGATGTAAATACTTTAAATTTCCCCAAGGTTTTGGGGAGAATAGAAAGGAAGACTACTGAGATTACGAGAAAACAGGCTAGGAATTATAATTCCTAATTTCAGGAAAAACTTTTTCTGAATGTTTGCATTGTAGACAATATAAAAATGAACAATGTCAAAATACTAACAAATCCCAAACATGTAATTGTTTTTACAATAAAAATGCAAGACTTCAGATGTCAAATGGTGCTATTTAGAGTAATTCTGCAGGTTAACAAGCAAATTAATCTATTCCAAGAAGAATCAAATACACCAGGGACAAGACTGATCAGGGGATTGGAAGCCTTTCAACTATTATCACCTCAAATCCAGCTCTGGTCATTGGTAACCAATGTAACTAATGAGAAACTGTTTAGCAGCCTAGGTGAAATAAATGGTTGGACTCAGTCCATGCTCATGATGGGACAGCTATCTACACAGAAAACCATCATAATGTACCCATGTGCTCCCCTGATGCCCATTTGATCCTTGGCATCTGTCACCTCCTAAAAGTGGTCTTCCCACAGAACATGATTGAAAAACTGATGGGACAGGATGGAGAAATCTGCACCAACACGGCACATGCTGCACTGGTTTGTGGGTAAACAGAAGAGTTAAATCTACTGAAATGTATAGCCATCTTTCAGCAATAAATTCAATATATGCAAAACTAAATTTCCTGCCTCAACTAAGACAACTACAAGTTATTCAACCTACTGTTCTCATTTATGAAAGCTAAATTAATATTGCTTCCAAAGTGATGTAGGAGATAGAAATGAAAGACCAGGCATAGCTCTGGACATTACACAACTTTCAAAGGTAAGTTCATTAAAAAGCAGTCAAAACACTTTGTATGTTTGGATTATCAACTGTGGCCTTCATTATAAGACACATCACAAAAGTTTCAGTAAAATCAACTGGTAGTGTAAACTTATTTTACAATTTTCAAACTCCAATCTGGGAGATAATTTATAAATAACTGTTTAGAAAGGAGTAGTTTTTAAAGCCTTGAAGAATCTCAGATAGTAACATGCAAATATTTAAATAGAGCAAAAAACCCCACCCATTAAATATTACAAATAAGTTATGCTCAACAAAGCAAAACCCTGAAAAAAGTTAATTCCCCAAGAAAAGAAGCACACATGATATCAGTTTTCTTTTTTATTTATGTACATCTGTTTTGTCAGATTTACTCCCGAGCCATAAGTTTTTGCTTCTTCAGCTTCTTTTGAGAGATCTGAAAAATAAAAAGGAAAGAATGAAAATCTGTATCTACAAAAGAGATTATACCACCACTCTGTGTGTGACCTATCCGTCCCCATCCTCAAAGGAAACCTGCAAAACACTTTCAAAAGACAAGCATGGGAGCTTAAATCCATAACTTTGCTCGACACTAAAAATCATGGTCTTAATAAAGACACTGAATTTATGGCTTATTACAAAAAAATCAGTAACCCACTATTTCCCCCCCCCCCCTTTGTCCTATAACTACAGGGGTATTTTATCAGGCCACGTCATCCCTTAGACTATGTGCTAACTACTTAAGCGGTTCTCATAACAGTGGGTCACGACCCCATTTTAATGGGGTCGCCAGGGTTGGCATTAGACTTGCTGGGGGCCGAGGGCTTCAGCCCTGGGTGGCAGGGCTCAGGTTACAGGCCCCCACCTGGGGCTGAAGCTCTCAGGCTTTGCCCCCCACCCCCACCTGGGGTGGCAGGG